GCTTTGGAGATATCCTTGAAAATGAATGTTTCATGCAATGACATTACATATGGAAACCATCAAAAATACATTTTCTAATAGAGTTTTCAACTCTGAATTCGAAAAAAGCTGTTTGAAAATTTTAAAATAAAAAGGAGAAAAGTATTCAACTTTTTCGGATTTTAAGACCCTTCCCGTATTTTCAGTTTTTCGACGCGATAAAGTGCACTGGAAAGGCTAAAAAGGCGATATTCGTGATCAGCTTCAACTTCTCTATCGAATCATATATAAAGAAGCTAAAAATAAAATAGTGCTTGATTTTTGAATTAAGCGCACCTTACCATGTATCCAATCCAAAATTAAATATTGATCTTCAAAATATTTATAATCATACGTAACACTATACATTGTTTGTTCATTATTGCCACCAATTCTTTTGGTCAATTTATTATCAATTAGTCTTACAGCAATATCGGGCATATATATAATTAATCTTCTCATCGGTGTTATTGGTACATTACGTTGATCAAATTGTGCATTTTTCATTAATTCTTCCCAATGCTTATAATCAGATAATAGTAATTTTTCAACAATAGGTTCATGATGATTTTCTATTGATATATCTAAGCAATTATAACTTCTTGCATTACGAATAGTTGCATCAGCATTTGTGTAATCTAATAAGTATTTAACAACTGGTAAACATCCGTTTTCACATGCCAAATAAATGGGTGTAACACGTTTATTATCAAATGAATTAACATCCGCACACTCGTCTTCTATTAAATATTTAACTATTTTCATATGACCTATAAACAAGAGTCAAGAAAAAGTACACGTACACAAAATTATGCATTTTTCTCCAGACTAATTGAACTTGAAAGAAGAATTTCTGTTCCGACTTTTTTCTGTAGGATATTGTCCTAGAGTAGAACAATAGAATTGTTAATGTACGTATCCTCGTAAGCAAGACATCAATGTATGCTTTTCTTCCTTTCGAGGAAAAGAAAACAAGGATAAAGATGATCATATTGTCAAATTCTTAGATTAACTTTGGGTATCTCTAGTATGGGGTAGACCGTTACCGCCGTTACTCTGGTAACTCTGGTAACCGTGACTGTAACGGGTAACGATTAAACCAAATGGATAACTTTCAAGTTTACTTAATATGAATTCTGACTTAAAATATTAACTGAGAGCATTATTCTTACAGAATGAACTGGGAAATATTTCTAGGTATTTACTAGACCTTAGAACTATTCTCACGAGGGAACCTCTCGAGATGATTAAAAGCTTTTCGACTCAGACTATTTTCATCATGTAGGGAATAGTCAACAGTGAAAAACCCCAAGTTGGTTTGGGCCCATGCACCTTTTGGCAGACGTGCGCGATTACAATTACAAAATGTAAAGTTCAAACATTGCTATTATCTGTAGAATTAAGAATTCTAGAATTATGAACTTTACATGTATGTAAAGTTGAACTTTACTTGTTCAGAATTTTCT